GTTTATAACTACTTGTTCATAACAGTATTATAAATACCTATAAATTATGTGTTATTATTATTACGAAGGCAATTCATTGAACAATTAATATTGCGATTTTTTTAGATTTAAATRTYTCGTGGTGAGAACGAAATTTACGTTTTTTACACGTCGTATTTATGTGTGTCTGTGTCTGTGAATTCGCAGGTTTTTTTGTTTTTGCTCATTATTAATTCATAAAGAATCTCGGTATTGATAWTTAATTAATCTCACGATTCCCATTTTGATCAATAGTTTTGAGTTTATTCACGGTTGGACAATACAGAATTTTCAATCGAGAAGATTATGTTCGGCTTATCAAATCTAAATCTATAGAGTATAGCTAGGCTATGCATGCACATTGTATTATTATAATATATATTATATTTTAAATGTAATATTACAAATTTTTTCGAAAAGGTGCAAATTTGAAAGTATTTAATCCTCAATCACTTTGCATGTAATTAAATAGTTATATAGTTTCAAAGTCGTATATTATCTTATAGAAACCAACGTTCAATCATAAACAATGTTTATTAAACATTTGTGTATCGACCTATTAGTCTTAAAGTCACAAAATATGAAGGCTAATGACTTTACTATACAAGTACTCAAAGTCTCAAATATATTATATAATATGTTATAACGCTACTTTGTAACTATTATTCTTCATGGGCGTACTTATACCTATATACCAAGTGTCCAAGTGGCAAGTATATCATCAGTATAGTAATAATATAAAACATTTGTTGGTAAATRSTTTGCTTTTTCACAATAACGTACATGTGTTACACATATTTTTACGAACCAAAATCTCCAATTAACCTACCGCTATACTATTACCCAAACTCGTTTTCAATAGATAATTATAATTTATCAATGTTTAATGAAGCAACACGTATGAAATATACTCCGTGTCTCTGTAGAAATTACAATCTAAAAACACAAATATACGAACACGTAATAATTTTATGAAAAAAAACTTCTTAAACGTTATATTATAATATTATGTTAATAATAAATGGTATATAGAAGGACGAGGGGAAGTGCAACATTAACAACTTTTACGCCACAAGAAGCAAATATTTTTCGTCTCCCCATTGCAGTTAGTCTATACTTATTATATATATTGAAACGTTTTGATTTTGAAATATACGATTAAATCAATATTTTAATAAGCATATCTATAATAGCTCGTAACTATAATTCCACATTTTAATTCATTTTACAATGTTTTTTCTACACCAACCCTCTCGCATATAATGTGGTTCAGATGTTATATATATTATCAGAAGGCTATATTTCTATATTGTAATATTAAGGACACCAAATTTCTGAAGAATTTTGATTATCGATCTCCGAGTATGCCATCTGCACCTATTGGCACTGGCGTAGTGGCGTATTAACTCATAATATTATACTTCATGCGTAATATTATCCAAACTCTGCTAAATTATATATAACTTCCCATAATTATATATTTTTAAACTAACGTCGTTTATTGTTGTTTCACAGAACAAACACGGTGGACCCAATGACGAGACCAGACACGCTGGAGACTTGGGCAACATCCAAGCTGACAACACGGGGGTGGCGCAGTTCTCTTATTCGGACTCACTCATCTCGCTGGTCGGCGCCCACAACATCCTGGGTCGCGCTGTGGTCGTGCATGCTGACACTGATGACATGGGCCGCGGAGGGTTCACCGACAGCCTGACCACCGGACACGCAGGTTCCAGAGTTGCATGCGGAGTCATCGGAATCCTGTAGGCACACTGCACAATATATTCGCGCAATTATTAATATTATTATTATTATTTTTCGCTTAATTATTTAGGTATTATTAATTTTACACAGTGTGTTATATACCCGAACGTATTATTATAGTTTTAGGGATATTTGTTTTTACAAGGGTCTTTATAAATATTAATGTCTTTACAAAATTTTACCCGCTCGGCTATCTTCCTTCGCTCTCTATTCATTATATGGTTCTCTACCTTACACTCTATATATCTGTTATTTTTCAAAACGTTTTCATGGTCAATACGCTTTCTTGAATTGCATATTATTATAGTATTATAATTTATTTATTTGTAATTTATAACTATTTATATCAGTATTAAGTACAATCAATAAACGCGGGTTTTATCTTGCATTTATTTTAATTTTTCTATTTTTGAGCTTTAATCCCCTATAAAAAAGTATACCTATATAATATACACATCGCATTKTACTTCAGTGATACGCATATAGACGGCCAGAGACTTCGGTATCTGGTACAATATTATAATCAGTTTATCAACTAATGATTTTATAAGAATAAACAATAAACGATTTTATGACAAAATAAAATGAATATAATAAGTAACTAATTCTATTATATAAATTACTATAGCTGTAATATTATCCGACATCGCTCGAGTTAAAATTAATCAATCTTTCTGTTTGGATTTAGTTAAAATTATATAAATTCATTTATAATGATAAATTTTATGATTTTCTTAATTCTGGACGTATTTTTTATGTGAATACAAAAAACTGGAGATAGGGTTAGAAGCTGATGTAAATCCGTTGGGATTGGTATATTCGTCTTTATGTATTAATATAAAAAATAAGTCCAAAATAAAAAATCTAACTATAAGAGTTGTCATTATAATATTACATTCGAGCTRCTCTTTATGAAGTAACGTAAAGTAGTTTTAAAAAAAACAGGCTTCATAAACACCTTCAGAGATTCAAGGAATCTATTAAAGAGTCTATTGATATAACTTTTATCGAAAACAGTCCACGAGTTTTTGAATCTATTGACTAAAGAGAATAAACAAAGARACATTAATTTTTATAAATAATATAAAAGATAAGATAATTTGACACATAATAAATTATGATCATAATATTATAGGCCGATTGTTTAATTTATTAATATAGTATGCGTTTTAATTCAATTCCATCTCCAATCACTGCTATAAAGTGCAGTTAAACAATATCCTCTTTATACCAAAAAAATATTTTTGTATACAAAATGTACAACATAATAATATGTCCCTTTAATAAACGGAAACTGCACTCAATGGCTTCCAAAATATGCAACATAATATGCTGCATGCAGCTATAAGCACGTCTATTGTGATATCAATATACTTATGTTTCTGCTTTCTGTATTCTGTGAATTATATGTTTATGAACTTTTGATTGCTTTTCCGCACACGTATTACAGTGGGTATTCGTTTAAAGTCTAACAATATGCTAATTTTTTTTTTTTTGAAGCTAAGTTTTTACACACGAAAATATCCAAAATATTACCATTAAATCGACAGCAGTGAAATTAATTCCTGCGACTTAACAGTTAACATATATTGGTCAAATGAAAAGCATGCTCAAAAYATCACGTGAAAAGTATCTAGCTATAAAACCAGCTATTATATATTATAAGACCAACAGCACACGTTGTTGAAAGTTTTCACACATATGTATACGCGTGTATAATATATTATATATTATGCGTGATGTATGCTTTTAGCGGTTAAAGTATTAATATATTATTTTTGTACTTCAACGTGTCGTGGCTACATTATAAAACAACACGCTAGATGTACCATTATACCAGCCAAGTATATATTATGTATATACGTCTATAAAACAATGACCGGCAACGAGTATACGCCGTAGTGAAGCGTCATAAAAATGGCTTAATAAGTTTTTGGGTCGAGATCGAACGGGTAGAGGCCAGAGGGTGATTTAAAAATTAAAAGTTTTTTCTACCATCATAAATAATAACGATAGAAATATGTATGATTATTGCCTACTGTTGTTGGGAGAGCGTACATTATATTATAAATTATAATATTAAAGTCTTCTAAAGTTTTCAGGGAAAAAAAATAAAACACTTCAGTTGCGGCCCCGTTAGGGGTTGTACGAGTACCTATACGTCATACGTTTAGGTTGTACATGAGATACCTACAACTTTTCATTTTAAAACTGCTATACTTCCACTTACACATATAATAATATATAACATATAGTTCGTAGATTGTAGGCACAATCTGGCTGGTGCTATATTCACGCGTACACATATACATGTATTTATTATTATTTTAATATTACGATTTACGCGATGATTGATGCGTGCGAAATAAATCTCATCACGCCGGCTTAGATATGATGAGACACGGCGCGGGAGAAGAAGTGTGATAACTAATAATGTAGTGATAACATTTGWTATTATCTTTATGTTATACGTATCCATATATCCACACGTCAAGTAACCATCATCGGCTTTCAGCAGTGGCTCAAAGCTGCTGTTCGTAACTTATATAAATTCGTCGCGTGTAGGTAAGACAATCGCGGCTGTAATATATTCCAGGAATCCCGATTCCGACGTGTTTCATCCTGTAGACCACAGTTTGGTACCTATACTGCAGTGAAATTAAAAATATGTTTCCGTGTCGAATCAAAATCGTTTTTGTAATAAATCATTCCAGAATAGCAATAATAGTGGCGTGTCTCGGACAAGTTGCTGGTCCGCCATAATAATGTAGCTGGTATTATCTAGCTTTACCACCGCCTATAGAAATACAAACCTCATTGTAGAGCCTCACGTCAGTGGCGCCGAATGGTATTTTTCATTTGGTGGGACAATGTATAAAAATTAGTTACCRCCACTACCACTGCCCACCACCACTCACCACCCACATAATTATATTGTAAATTCAATTATCATAAAATCACCATAATTAAATACAGGGGGTGAACCGCCCCACAAAAATATACATGTCCGTAGACACTGCCTCGCGTCATATGAATATTGTTATATTTAAAAATTAATACGCGTTTGTCGATGATGAAAAGATAGATATCACGCGTTAGTCGCTTTACGCGTAATAAACACCGTTTCTTCAATATGTGCCCTTAAATATTTCCCAAATAATCATTCCAGCRCGTACATTATATTAGGTATATATTTATCAACCGTGTMGATAAAACAAACTGACTGCCGTCGGTCGATTTTAAGCGACGYTAATAAGTTTATTTCTCGAATGTGGTCYTCCTACGCAGCAATATATATYCACGCGGGGTCGTAYTTAGGAATTTGACACCAAGAGGCAAAAAAAATAAATACGCCTCATTAATCATTATACAAAATACAAATTTGAATTATAAAAAAAATAGCCGCCCTCTCCTACTAAGCCGCCCGGGGCAACAGTACCCTGTAGCTCCCCCCTAAATACGGCCCTGTATCCACGTAATTAAAATATAATTACAACTGTTTTGAAATGCGCGAATTAAAGTTAAACGAACATTTAGCGTGCAACCCGTTAACTATTTTTGGACGGCAAAGACGACGTCGGATATAATTTTTATTATATACATATAGGTATAAACACATCGGCGCCGACCGATTAAATCTCGTGCACATTTGTCGTGTATATTATACTAATTTACTCGTATATACTAAATGCC